TGAGCTGTGCTGAGTGACCGAGGCTGCGTGTTGCGGTTTGTGATGCCAACATAGCATTCTTCCTCATGACTGTTACCTGTTTTGAAATTGCAACAGGTTCTCACGGCAGAAGAGCTGAAAGCTGCCCAGACGTCAGTCGCTTTTGGATGTATTAAATATGCAGATCTCTCCCACAACAGACTAAACGATTACGTATTCTCCTTTGACAAGATGCTGGATGACCGAGGAAACACAGCTGCATATTTGCTGTATGCCTTCACGCGGATCAGGTAGGTTGAGTGTGCTGAGAGTCGCTTGGAGTTCGTCTCTGATGCTCTCTGCATCTTTATTGCAAAGGGAGATATCTGCCCCTTTATCGTGGGGAAAGGGGCGACTGTTGCATCAGTGCTGTTAGGGGTAGTTGGTAAGAGAAGCCAGCTACAGTGGTACGCGCTATAGGCAAGGTTTTATTTGTCATTGGAAATGGTGTCCTCTGCTATCTGAAAGAGGGCTCCTCCGTGCGACATGCATCCCAGGCTTTTAGCTAGCAGGGAGGGAACCATAGGAGTTTCTGGTAATTCCATTAGAGGCTTTAGGTGGTTGGAGAGGGGTGAGCCTGTGTTCCAGCAGCTGCTCACCTCAGGTGTCGCCATACCCCACACAGTTTTTCTGGCACCCTGAGCCCTGGTTTGCTTGGCAGCATCAGCTGTCCTTGCCCACGCATGTGCCCAGAGCACATCCCTCCCTATTCCTCTGCAGTGCCCTGTTGGATCGCCCCGAGGACAGCGCCTCCCCGTGTGTTCCCAGGGCTGATTGCTCTCTTCTGGCCTGGTAACCCAGGACTGGGCAAGTGAGGAGATCAGTGGGTGGCCTATGCTAGCCCTGAGACAGGCCAGACACCTGACCAACTGCGGGCTGGCCCTGGGGCAGGTTGAGCAGAGAGACCCTCACAAGCAGACTGTGTTTTGGGTCATTTCAGGGCTATTGCTCGCCTGGCCAATATTGACGAGCAGATGCTGCGGAAGGCAGCCAGGGAGGAAGTGCTCATCCTTGACCATGAGAAGGAGTGGAAACTGGGCAAGTGCATCTTGAGGTTCCCTGAGATATTGCAGAAGATCCTGGAGGACTTGTTATTGCACACGCTCTGTGACTACCTTTATGAGCTGGCCACCACCTTCACCGAGTTCTACGACAACTGCTATTGCGTTGAGAAGGACAGGCAGAGTGGTGAGTGTTGGCCTAGGGGTGCTGCATGGTCCTGTGTCACATACCGTGGTACAGACAATCTGCGGGGTGTTTCCTTGTGCTGGGAAGGCTGTTGTTACACTACTTGCTGCTGCAGAACTAGTGTTGTCCATGTGGGAGGACTGAAGGTGGCTGGCACAGACTGTGTCATCATCTGCCTGTGAAGCAGGAGGGTTGAGCAGGGAGTTGCGAGCAACCAGGCACGTGGAAACACGAGGGCTGGTCAGTCTGCCTGGCTTGGGGAGAACGGGAGGGGGCTCAGTGTGCCCAGGGCCAGGTTGTGGGCGGATGGGGTTCCCCTGGGGAAGGCAGCATTAGTTGTTCTGAGCAGCTCCTCCAGCTCCTCCGTTGGTGTTTTGCAGGCCAGATCGTGAAGGTGAACATGTGGAGGCTGCTGCTGTGCGAAGCCACTGCCACCGTCATGGCCAAAGGATTTGACATCCTGGGGATTAAGCCTGTGCAGAGGATGTAGCTGTTCCCTGTGGGGTGACAATAAAGGGACTAAAGAACTGGAGGTGTCTGTGTCTGTTGGGGTGGAGTAAGGGAAGATACTCTAGGGGAGAAGCACCCCCTTAGGAAAGAAAGGAAGGAAGGAAGGAAGGAAGGAAAGGTAAGGAGCAAGTAAGGGAAGAAGGAAAGAAAGGATTCATGGGCACAGCTCAGAGCAATTCTCTGTGCAGGAACCAAACCCCACAGGCCCATGCCCAGGCCTGCTCTGCTTCAGCCTGCAGAGTTTAAGGACTGAGAGAAGTCAGAACACCCAAGAGCACCTCCAGGAAACCCTCCAACCACAGTGCAGTCACCCACACTGCCAGAGCCAACCTAACTCTGATGATTCCCACCGTCCTCTTTACCTTATTTGCCAGGTGTGAGCAGATCACCCAGCTTTTGATGTCATATCTGGCATCCCTCAGCAGAGCACAGAGCTCTCAAGGGAGCCAAGCAGTCTCATCCCAGCCTAGCAGTGTGAGGCCCTGGTGCTCAGGATGCTTGTCTCATGGAAGTTGTTAGGGAGCTGATCAAGGCAACAGTCAGGTACCTGCAAAAGAGACCGAACGTCACACTCAAGGACTGAACTTTAATGTAACACACCAGGGAGGTGTGAAACAACACACACTTACCAGGACAATGGAGTACAGGCTGTGGGGCGTGCCACCTACAAGCAAGCATGCACATCCGCATCACTGCCCTGTGCAGGTGGCCTGTACCAGCCCTCAAAAAAGGGGCGGCTTCCTGAGTGCCTCTCAGAGGACAGCAGTGTTCGGCTGCATGCTGTGGGAGCAGCACCAACAGCTGCCAGCAATGCTGGTGTAGGCAGGCAGGCAGGCAGGCAGCGGTTTTACCTGGAGGAGCAGGAAGCCCAGGGGAGGAGCAGATCAATTAACTACATTCCCTCAGAGGACGACACAAGGGAAATGCCTTTCCCTGCAGCAGCAATGTTTTGAATCCCTACAGAGTCGGCAAACCTCTTCGCTGAGTGCATATCGATCTCGAGTAACCACAAGGCCAACTACAAGGCAGCGGGCCACGGCTCCTGCCTTTGCTTTGGGATTTGTTGGAAGCTGCACTGTGTGAAGTAGAGCAGCACAGAAATGCGGCTTTGCTACCACTAGAGAGTAGGTGTTGCACTTGATTTAGGTGCTCACTGGCGTATGCGTGTGTGTGTATATGTACATATACATGTATATCTGTATATACAGATACATAGATACAAAAGATACACGTATCTATTTATCTGATGTCCCAGGTTCTTTCCCATATAGACAGCTGGGGGGAGGGCTCGGCTGTGACACTTAGACAGCGCCTAGCACCTAATGGGCATGGGTCTGGCACTTAAACAAGCACACACCTGTGCACACATGCGTTGCTGATGGCTGGCTGAACAATGCCCACAAAGACCTAGCTCTGGTGCCACGCTGGCAACTGCATGACATGCCATGGTCAGGCAGGAGGCCAGGCCCCTCTGGAGCACCCACCATGGAGTCAGGGAGCAGCAGGGGCCGGCTGCTCCAGGGGACTGAGGCACTGAGTGCAGTACCATGGGGTGGGGCTGGGCAGCGGCTCAGCCAGGACCCCGTCCCACCGTACCTGAGGGAGACGCAGGGCAGGCCCGGGAATGGCAGTGGCGACCAATCGAGAGTCCCAGTCGCAGGTGCGTCCATCAGTGCCGAGGTGGGGACGAGGCCAAGCCAGGCGGGGTCAGGTCCGGTGGCGGTAACA